TATATATATGCGAAAAAAAATTAAATATTAAAATAATAGCGACCTTTATGATTTTTGTAAGAAATCGTAAGTATAATGAATCTCTCATTGTTTTTCTTAGATAAATTTAAAACTGGCGGTCCTTACCTGGAAATATTGTGCTTTTGCTACTCTTCAACACACCTTTATGTGTCGGCCCAGCCGATAATATGGTGGCAAAATTTCTCTGCAGCGGTTAAGAAATCAGTCAAATTTTCAGTCTCATCAGACTTAGAACTCCAACAGATATTTGATTACTTTAGCTAATTGAAATTTCTATCAGCGAAAATCTACATTTGGCGATAAAAATGACTGTTTGTGGTGAGCATAGTTCGTAAATAATTGTTCTGTAATAAAGCAAAAGATGCAGTTATATTTTGAATTCTTTAAATGGTCAGAAAAAGGTCGGAATTTTAGTTGACGAATAGATCATTTCATTCATTCATTCATTTCATAGATCAATAGATCCTTTCATAGATCAATCATTTGAAGATAAATTGTGTTTGTAGTGATCTGTAATTTGCTTGCTTTGTCTTCAGGTATGGAACACCATCAGTCAAAATTTAATCACTTTAGCTAGTCGAAAAGTAGTTAAAATTTTTATTAACGAAAATATCTCTTTAGAAATAATATGATGATAAATTATACTTTTCGTGGTTAAAAAACAATTGGAACTTGTATTGTCATCCAACACAAAGCTCCAGTTACAATTCGAGAGCTCTAGTTAGTTTTAAATTAAAGTGGTCAGAATTTTGATCGACGGTGAATTCCTTTTGGCAGTTTTATCTTGATAAATATATATATTGCTTAGGAAACCTTTGCTGTCATCGGGTACCATATTCTGATAAAGATTTGGGTATCTGATCAGTCGAAAAGTGGCCACAATTTTAGTTGTGAGTTTCCTTCGTTACAAAGGCGAAATCGTGTAGACAAAAACGCAGTATTAATTAAAATACATTAAACAAGGAAAGTAATCATTATAAATAAAATAAAGAAACAGTTTTTTTTTTCAATTTTGTAGCTTTGTGGTGTTAAACTAAATTTATCAGAAAAAAAACTTTTGGGTTAAGTTGAAGAAAAAGTAGCTTGTTTGACAGCTACTTTTTCTAGCTTGTTGAAAAGTAGCTTGCCTTCCTAGTAGTAGCTTGTTTGAAGGAAGCTTTAGAGGAGAGTTCAAATCACGTCCAGGTGACCAATGTGGAAGAGACAGTGTAAGGGAGATGTTTTTTGGCTATCAGCAGGATTCGAACTCAGGACCTTTGGGGTCGTTGTCAGATGTTCTAACTATTACAAAAAAAGGGTGCACACCCCAGTTCAGGATGACTTAGGAAGCGTTATAGTATATAGTGGCAGAAGCTAATATGATAAGTGGCGAAGCTTGTGTTACACGGAGGAGAAAACGGCGGTAACATATCATAGTTAACCTGACGGTAACAAGGAAACTCATTGGCTTGTTTTGTCGGCTGCCAGGATCGAACTCACTACATAGCTCTTCAGCCAGTAGTGTAAGTGATGCTTTAATTGACTGCACTGCCGGAGCACTCTCTAGTGATTTATAATAACATTAAAGTTTGATCACCCAATTACTCTAAGGAGAACAAAACGATTCGTTTCACGATAGTAATTAGTGTCTGTACAAAGAGTCTCGGTTTTTGAGGGAATAGAGCTCTCACCTGTCAATGAGGTGAGGTTCGAATCCCAGCAGTGGCTGGTTGATATGAATTCTGCTTCCGACTAGCATTGATCGCAGTATTGACTTAAAATATCCTTTGTCTTAGACGGATCATGGGTTAGAATCCCCTTGCCGTCTGGAAACCATGAAAAACCATGGAAGGTTTTCGTGGTTTTCCTCCCCACGAAACTCAAATGCTGATGAGATAGATCTACCAAAAAAGTCCTGCACGAAGGTTAGTTTGTTCAAAAGCTTAATTTAAGAGTTTTCTTGTCTTCTTGCCTGGGTTCAAAATTACAAGACTACGGAATCGAACACTGATAGTCGTAAACTCAGAATCGGGTCAGCTGTTCAACACTGCTTATAAAATAAAATAATGATTGTTCAAATCAAATACTACTTGATTTGTCAGTTGCATGGAAGGAAAAGAAAATGTTCAAAACATTGATTTTATTAATTCCTAATTCAGTACTTCTCATCTATTGTGTTTTTTAGTTACTTTAATTCCTAGGGTGGAGGTTTACTGTACTATTTTCCCATTATGATAGTAGCTCCTTTTTTTCTTTTAATATTTGCACATAATATTTAATACTTTTTAAATTCGTATATAAAACATTCATAATTTCATTTAGGAAGCGATTACGATTTTGCGGCATATCTTTGGCCCGTTGAGTATCGGATAATCGAGTGTCTATATTCCGGTAGATTTAGTTTCCTCCCATTTGAGAAACAGTTTTCCTACGTTGCTCTGCTTTGCGAACTGAAGGCGAATCCATTAAAAAGAAGGGCGTCATCCCCCTGTGGGGAGATCACCAGTCCAAATATGGTTCGTAGATGATGATGGTGATGCGGAGGAACGTGGTATGTCAGCAGGGGGAAAGCAGCGTTGACTTTACTCTATTTTTTGCGTTGTCAGAACTGGGAGAAGGAAGACATAGATCTT